TGGACCACATCCCCAGGCCTATTCTTTTGTATTTTATTTAGAGACAGGGTCTCACTGAGTTGCTTAGCACCTCACTTTTGGTGAGGCTGGCTTTGAATTCAAGATCCTCCTGTCTCAGCCTCCTGAGTCACTGGGATTACAGGTGTGCGCCACCACACGTGGCTGCAGCATGTTAATTTTAAATGTGAAAACATCTTTTTTTAAAAGATATTTTTTAGATTGTAGATGGACACAATATCTTTATTTATTTAGTTTTATGTGGTGCTGAGGATCAAACCCAYTGCCTCACACATGTGAAGCAGGCGCTCTACCACTGAGCTACAGACTCAGTCTTGTGAAAACGTTTATCTTTGTAAGTGGCATGAATTAAACATAAAACTAACTTAAAATTAAACAATCACCACAAATTACTTTATTAACCTGTCTAATGCATAGAAATAATATATAAAAACTCTTACTGATCTCAAAAATTTTTTCTATTCAACTAGATAAAATATTTTAACCCAAACTCTTAAGGGTTTTTATTTTAGGAAATTAATAATTTAAATATAATAAATAACAAAATTAAACCTTAAAACTAATATAAATAGCTGCTTCACAAAAAGTGTTTTATTTCAGCATTGAATGTTTTTGTTCTGAGCTAATGAAAATAAAGTTGATAAATTCTAATTAAAGATAATTAGAAAAATTTTTAGTGATTTTCATTTGGAMATACTTTTTATTAATAATGGTTTTGGTTTTGGTAATGAAATTCTTTACCATCTGTTTATAAATCATTATTATTTTAAAAGATCATGTAAGATAAGAATAGGACCTTTTTGAATATGTGCTTTTATTTATTTTTTTTAATATTTACTTATCAGCGGACACAACATCTTTGTTTGTATGTGGTGCTGAGGATYGAACCTGGGCCGCACGCATGCCAGGCGAGCGAGCTACCACTTGAGCCATATCCCCAGCCCCAAATATGTGCTTTTATTTGAAAATTTTGTAGTCAGGTATAGCTTTTATAATGAAATATTTCTGTCTTACTTTTATGAATTAAAAATGTCTCTTATTTCTGACAGTAAAAATATTTTAAAAGTTATTTTGTAGACCAGAATTTCCTATGCTTTTTGATGATAAATGTGAACTATTCTGAGTTATAAGTAAATAGAACAATCCCTAATATATACCATTGTTCAGATACACTGCATGAAGCAAAGGTTAAAGTTTATGTCATTCCTGTTTTTTTTTTTTTTTGGTACCCCACGAAGAAATACTTCTTGATGCTCTATATAAGCATGTTTAATAGAAATATAATGTGCACCCTATATATAATTTAAAAATTTTTGAAGGCTTATTTTTAAAGTTTTTTAAAAGATGGATTTAATTTATTAATATATTTTATGTAAATATATCTAAACATAAATATATATAATATATAAACATATCTAAACTATCTTTTCAGCATTATCAGTAGAACAATTAAATTAAAGTTACAATTTTGTGAAATACTAATCATTTTTGGCTTTTTAAAAATACATTTAACATGTACTATCTTAACTATTTTTGTGTTTAGTTCATTAGTATGAAAAAAATTTATATTGTTTTGCAACCATCACTATTATCTATCTCTTAGAATTCTTTTTATCTTATAAAACTGAAGCTCTATACCTGATAATCAATAATTCCCATTCTTTTCCTTCCCCAGCAATTACTATTTCTGTTTTCTTTTTCTATGATTTTGATTACAATTATTGAGTTATTTTATATTCTTTTTTTCTACTAAGTCTTTAAAATTTAATATATATTTTACATTTATGGCAGAACTCACTTTGGACTAACCATTTTTCAGGTGCTTATTAGTCACATTTGGCTTTTGGATGCTGTTTCAAGTAGTTATACTCTTATTGTATAATTTATACTGAATCTAAATATAATTGATCATTATGTGAATCAATTCTTTAATAATATTAATTATACTTTGTTAATTGTATTCTTATTTGTTATCTAGAACAATCGGCAGATTCCAATTTTGAAAATTTTTGAAATAGCTTGTCCCAATTTTTAAAAAATTGTATTCCCAGATTCCAAAATGTTGTCTATATAGTTGGTTAGACATCAGTAACCACATGACTGTATTTGAGAAAGTTGCTATCTAAAAAGTTGGTGGTTATAAGCTACAGCTATTTGAGTTTGGGGGAATATAGATTTCTTAAAGAGTAGGGTTGACATAGTTATCATGCTTGATGACTTGCTAGAGGGACTCTCTCTAGTGTAAAGTCTTAAGTAAGAGGGTAGATGAGAGTGACATAGCTTGGTTCATCTTGAATATCTAGTATGTTTAAATGAATTGCATTGATCATTGTCAAGGTTGACAGTCAGATGTGAGATAGCATTTAGGACATCCCTGCACTGAACAGATTTCTTTTCCGGGTTCAACTTCTTTTTTTTTTTTTTTTTTAGTTGAAGGTGGACACAGTATCTTTATTTATTTATTTTATGTGGTGCTGAGACTTGAACCCAGTGCCTCACACATGCTAGGCAAGCACTCTGCAACTGAGCTTCAGCCCCAACCCATGGATTCAACTTTTGCTTTCATTGACCATCTCTGGCTTGGTACAATACCTGTGTTATATTGTCTTAAAAATCCACATCAAACCTCCATTTTTGCCTATGAACTGACTTGTAGAAGATTAAGGCTTCTGCTGAAAGTACTAGAAGTGCTAGGGAATTAAAAATCATTTTGAAGGTATTGTAGAGCTGCTGAGTCAGTTTAAGATTCAGGAGACAAGGAAGACAGACACATTCTGTACTGGGGTTTCTCCTGTGTTTTCTCTTAAGCTGTGTAGAGAAAAAGGATAAAAGCTGAGTAGGACATTAAAATATAAGCAAAAAGCAACTGCAGAAGTTGCATGGAGCTTTTTTTAAAAAATCTTTTTTTAGTTTGTGGATGGACAGAATACCTTTATTTTATTTATTTATTTTTCTATGATGCTGAAAATTGAGCCCAGTACCTCACACAGGTGAGATGAACGCTCCATCACTCAGCCCCAGCCCCAGCCCCAGCCCTAGCCCTGCATGGAGGTTTTGGTAGTTATTCTGGCTTAGGTTTACAGTTGGAATCTGTTGAAGGGCTGTATCATAAGAAAGAGGACAAAGCACAGGTAGGTCAATCTTTATTATAGTGTTAAAACTCAGTCTCAAGCAATCTCTGTTTCTGATTGGACTGAGTTGATCCATTGCTCTCCTACTTTGCCTGCCTGTTAGAAAATAATTAAATTCTCTTTGGAGGAAGGTAACGATGGCATCCAGAACCTCTACATTTTTTTCCCCATAGGCATTTCATAAAATCATTCACATTTAATGCTTGGCAGTCAATAAAAAATTGCTAGATATACAAGAGCAAGAGAAAAAAAAATCAAGAACAGGAACAGATCAAAGCATCAAAATAGTATTGATACAGATTGTACAGACTTGGGAGGTATAGATGGARGCATTAAAACACAATAAGTAGTTATGAAAATACATGCTGAGATTGAGAATTTCACTAGAGAAGTGGAATCTATAGAAAAGAATTAAATGGAGGTTCTGAAACTGAAAAAAAATGTAGTAACTAAAATTTAGAACCCAGTAGATAGATTTAATTGCAGGTTAGACACAGTTGAAAGAGGAATAAAATAATAGATAAAATAATAAAATAAATAAAAATAAAAGATAAAATAATAGAAAATGTTCAGTAGAATGTATTTGTCCTTTTGTTGTTATGACCAAACCAAGCTAAGGCATGGAAGTTTTCCAATAGTTCGCCAAAGTCCATCTCCTTTTTAGAGCTTAGGAGTGAAAAGAGTCTTTATTATAATGTAATTGCAATTCTTGCTATTTAAATATTTGTGATTGTATATTTTTATTATAGTGTTTATTTTAAAAACTATAGTAAACATATAACATTGAGGTGGGAAAGTACAAAGTTATTACTACTTATAAATTTGTAACTTTATACACTTCATTCAGCTTCTGAGCAAACAAAAATTATTACATAACTAATATCTTATGCAGAAGTCACCTGTTCAGCAAACTTGGCTATTTAAAATAGAGCCTTAGAATCAGAAAATAAGAAAAACACAGACAGAAATTAGGTAAACAGAGTAATGGTAAATCATGTATTTTAGCATAAAGGAGTTTATAAGGCCCTTACTTTTATAAAGAATAATGGTTATCGTTAATGGTGATCTGGTAAACCTGCTAATTGCAAGTCAGATAGTAAGTCAGAAAAGCAGTGATGGGTAAATAGTTGAAGAATTGGGTTTGGCAGCAAGTACCTTGTTTCATCATTGTAAGATTCCACAATGAATTTTATCATTGATTTGTGTACCTATAAGAAAGAAAAAAATCCTTTTAATTACACTTTGACATCCTGTTAATTGTGATATACATCCTGATTTCAGAGATGTTATAATGTGGAGGATAAAGTCAATGGCAATCCTGTTTTTAAGTCTTAATTCTATTATTAGTTATTTGTCTGACTTGGACCAGATAACTTTGAGAATTTTTGCTAATATATGACAATGAGATAGTAAAATGTCAAAAGTTATTCTTTATCCTTCCCTCTTTACCTTTCCTAATCCCTAGTTATTTCTGAAGACATCTGCTGACTGGTTCCTATGTGATTGTGATTTGCAAGGATAGAACATAAAAATCGAAATAGTATTAATATTTTCATTGTTGAATTTTAGAAAGGACATTTTAAGAAAATTTCTAGGCCTTCTAAATTTCATTATTATGTTTGAATTATTTTAATTGTGTAGAATTCCTACTTTTGTTTTGATGTCAAACAAATATGGCATTAATTAGTAGATGCATCTTTTTACACAAAAGGTTGGACTTTGAGATATTTCATGAAGTAAAAAATTCCTCATTATATTCCTATTTTGAAGATTCCCAGTAAACCCAGAATGAAATTTTTTTTCTTGAACAGTAAAATATTGTTAACTTTGCTTTTGTGTTCATTCTTTCAGGATTTTTCAAGCCACGTTCAATTGATAGGATGAAAAAGTTTAAGAGAAGGCTATCCCTCACTCTTCGAGGAAGCCAGACTATTGATGAATCATTATCTGAATTAGCTGAACAAATGACTATTGAAGAAAACAGCAGCAAGGATAATGGTAAATATTTGGGATGGAGGAGATGCTTTCCCCATTTAATTACTTCATAAACAGTGTCAGGTTACTGTCTAGATAAAGTCATAATAATGTCCTTTTATTTCTCTGTCTCATTCCCTGGTGTTTTAGGAAACAGAAGATTGTATAACTTTCTTGGGCTTGCTTACTGGAATATTCCACTTTCAATCCAACATTGTTATTCTGCCTGTCTCAAGCCATAATGAATTATTCCATCCCACATTTCTGTTTTTTACTAGTTCATAAATAAGAATATATTGCATAATATTATCTTAATTGTTAAATAACTATTTTTATATTAACATTTAAGTACTTTTGCTATTCCTGTAACCTGAATTAATACAGCTTAAAAATTTATAGAAGATTTGTGAATTTTGTGGTCTCATTAAAGTTTTATAACATTCTATATGCATATTGATTATCTTCTACATTATAAGGTTCATCATGAGTAAATTTTATTGTTTTTTAATTTTATGTTTACCACAGAATCTATCCATAGTATTGAGAACACATACAGCAGGTAGGCATATAATGTTTCATGCTTTGACAGTCCTTTTTACAATTCAAAGTACTAGTACACAGATTAAATAATAAAATAAAGAACTTGTTAAAGTAAATAAATTAAAATGTAAACTCAGTGGCATTTTTAGAACAAGGCTACAATTCGAATGAAAATAACCCTAAGAATGTTATAATTATCAGAAAGGAGCTTACACAAATGGCTACCAGTGTGTCATGATATGCAGACTCTCTGGCAAGCCTTCTTTCACTATGCAGAAATTCTGCTGTTTAGAGATTTGTGGCAGTGGGTAAAAACATGAACACCCTCACTCACCCTTCCCATTATACATGTAAATGCGTGTGTTGTGAGTGAGGGAAAGGTGTAGTGGAAAGGGCTCTGCATTTAAATTACAAGTCATGGGTTGGGATTTAATATACTGAAACACTTGGTTAACTCCAGGTAAGTCATTTATTCTACCAGGGCTTCAGATACCTTATTTCTTTTCCTCTGAAAGGTCACTATTTATTCAAAGATACCTATCTTATTGGCAGAGCCAGTACTTTACAACCTAGATTTCTTTGCTTCAAAGTCTATAACATTGTATCTGTTCTCCCAGATCTCCTAGGTTCTACTGAGACTTTCTTGATATCTATTTTTTGTTTTTAAAGTGGGACAGAAGAGTGGCTATTAGGAAATTTAAAATAATAACTGGGATATAGTTACATATAGGAGGAGAAAATTTTGCCTTTGGATCAAATCCCAAAATGTATTTTATAATCTATTTTTTTAAGACGATATCAGCTAGATACCTGAAGCAAAATCCTAATTTTCTTCAAGAAATCCATTGTATTCTTGGTATTAATTAAATCCAGTGTGTTTGGGGTTGTTTGTTTGTTTATTTATTTATTTGGTACCAGGGATTGACCCCCCAGGGGTGCTTCGTCACCACTGAGTAACATCTCTAGTCCTTTTAAAAATTTTCTCACAGGGTCTTGCTAAATTGCTTAGAACCTTGCTAAATTGCTGAAGTTACCTTTAAACTTGTGATCCTCCTACCTCAGCCTCCTGAGCCACTGGGGTTACAGGTGTGCATCACCATTCTCAGCTCATTTTTATGATAGAAGAGTCTTGCCATGATGTTTGCCAGTGATATTTAGGAATAAAATAAGCACAGTATGCATCTTTGTGTTTCTGGGACATATTTATGGGTGGGGGAAGAGTAGTATTAGGTATTGAACCCAGGGCTATTCTACCAYTGACTGTATACCCAACCCTTTTTACTTTTTATTTTGAAATAGTCTTGGTAAATTGCTGGCCTTGGATTGGTGATCCTCCTACTTCAATTGCCCAGGTAGTAAGGATTATAAACATGAGCCACTGCACCTGACTAGGGYACTGGTTTGTTTGTTTGTTTGGACTAATTGCATATTTTCTGAAACATTTTAGTATCATTTATTAAAACATATTTAGTTGTAACCTGGTGAAATGTTTAAAATATTTAATTGTTTTAAAGTATTATATATTGTTTCCCTTATTAAAATTCATTCTTACAGTAGTAACCTTGACAGTTAATAAAGAAGAAAAAAATAGAAACTCTGTTGAATTTCTTCTTGACCAGACTTACTTGAAGGCATCTTAATACACATTGTAAAGATTACTGGTAGCTTGGGTTGCAGAGATTACAGGTATAATGGACTACCACAGTCTGATATTGCTTATTCCCTTGCTTTCACCAAAAACTTTGAAAGAAATCCTACATCTTGCCTGATAATTGCTTCCATCACATTCTTTTCTTATGGAGTTTAGGTTTGTTTTTGTTGTTAGCATAAAAAATTATTTTACACTAAACAGAAGTGTAGAATATATTTTTTAAAGTACTTGCAAGAATAGAGAATTCTGAGCACATCATTTTTTAAAATGTTTAATTTTTTAAAAATTGTCAAAAATGAATTCATATCATTTTATCAAAAAATTAAATATAAAATTATTATATGAACCAGCAGTTCTGTTCTAAGGTTATACTCAAAATGTTGAAACAGGTTTTCAAAGTCTTGTTCACATTCTTTGCCATTTATAACTAATTTTTTTTTTTTTTTTTTGCTCCAGGGCTTGAACCCAGGTGTGCTTAACCACTGAGCCATATCCCTAGTTCTTTTTTATATTTTATTTAAGACAGGGTCTCCTGGAGTTACTTAGAGCCTCGATAAGTTGCTGTAGCTAGCTTTGAATTTGTGATCCTCTTGCCTCAGCCTCCAGAGCTGCTGGGATTACAGCCATGCGCCACTGTGCCTGGCCTAAGTAATTTTTAAGTCTTATATTTTAGGAACATTTCTGCTTGGTAATAGGCTTGTGATTATTTAAAGATTCTTTTTTAAAAATATTTTTTAATTGTTAATTGACCTTTATTTCATCCATTTATTCATATGTGGTGCTGAAAATTGAACCACATGCTAGGCAAGTGCTCTACCACTAGGCCACAACCCCAGCCCTATTTAAAGATTCTTTATATTAAAAATCCCAAATTTGGGGCAGTAATTTCAGAGTCCTTGTATTGATGATATTAAATACTTTTGTTTAATTCATTAATTGACACACCTTTTTAGATGTCTAGCAATAGGGATATAAATTCATTTAGCCCAGGATTACATCTTCCATATTCTATAGCATGCTTAAACATAAGGCACATACTAGGTAGTTAATACATGGAGGATTGGAATATAAACAATCTTGAGATATGTTGAAATCAGCAAATGGATAAAAATGGTTATAGTAGTTTTATGATTATTAACCAATTTTTATTAATGAAAAAAGGATAGGTAAGTTATTAGAACAATTTAAAATATTAAATATTTATGTAAATAGTTTTTCATAGAAATTATTTTAACTCTACTGCTTTGTGTGTATAATCATAGAAGTGAGGTTAAATGTAATCTTTTGGGGCTGGGGTTGTGGCTCAGTGGTAGAGCACTTGCTTTGCACACGTGAGGCACTTTGTTAGATCCTCAGCACCACATAAAATAAATAAATAAGTAAAACAAAGATATTGTGTCCATGTTCAACTAAAAATAAAAAGTAAAAAAAAAAGGTAATGATTTCTGTTACAATTCTTGTTTTCTGCTTTGCTTTCTCAATCCTTCTCATGTGATCCTGAATCTTGGGCTGATGATGGAATGATTTTCAAATACTGTGAACCACAGAGCCTATAGTGAAGAATGGCAGGCCTCCAACGTCTCACAGTATGCATTCCTTCCTCCACCAGTACACGGGGTCTTTCAAGAAACCCCCATTGCGGAGACCCCACAGTGTTATTGGAGGAAGCCTTGGCTCCTTCATGGCAATGCCCAGAAATGGAAGCAGATTAGGTAATTTTGTTATTTATCTATTATATCTAACTTTCTGATTGTAGAACATGTATGTTTTTTAGGTTTTAGACAGCCAGCCTTTATTATCTAATTTCTCTTTGCCAGTTAAAAAACAAATTAAATGTAGGAAGGACAGCAGAAAAAGGGAAGGTTCTAGAAAGGGTATTGTTTACACTACAAAGAAGTAATATTTGAACACCTGTCCATCAGGAAGTAAACAAGTCCCATAAAAAGGAGATACAAAGTTTCAAAATGAATGGCAGTTTAGGATGGTGCTTAATCATACCTCAGTAACTCTTGAAATAATCACCATAGACTTTTACAATAATGAAATAATCACTTAAGTTGTTACTCTTTTATTACTATGTCCTTTTAAATATCCAAGAAAAATATATATATGAAAGTTTATGTTTATTTTATGTCTACTTCCTTGATCTTTTTTGGTGGTGTCCTTTTTAAATTCATGTTGGATTTGATTTTAAAAATCATTTTAAACATAACGATTTTAAAAAATATATTTTTGGGGTACCAGGAATTGAACTCAGGGGCACTTAACCACTGAGCCACATCCCCAGCCTTATTTTGCATTTTATTTAGAGACAGGGTCTCACTGAGTTGCTTAGTGCCTCAATTTTGCTAAGGCTGGCTTTGAACTCGAAATTCTCCTGCCTCAGCCTCCTGAGTCACTAGGATTACAGGTGTGCAGCCATTGCACCTGCCTAAACATAACATCTTATTGTTTTATAAGATAATTATATTTACTGAAGTTCAAGTTATGCTTGCTTTATTTCTTGTCATGGCAGATTATTTCCTAAAGTTTTTCATGAATTTTGGGAATATAAACTAATCTACAGTTTTTATCTATGGGTAATGTGTGTAGCCTTTATCTGTATAGGTGTAACCCTACAGAGTTGTGTGCTGCAATCAGCTCACACTGGTTCATGAGAGATGATTCTTAAATTTTTAGCAATTTTGCCTGTTAAACGTGGCTCTTATTAATTGTCAATTATATAAGCAATTAAGGTAAATTTAAAAACAAAGTAATGAATACTCAAAAGTCATTAATTTCTAATTATTCTGCCACTTTTTACTATTATCTATGTTGTAAGAGTTACTTCTATTTTAGCTTAAAATCAAAATACTATGTAATGGTGATTTCTCCCCATTGTTACACATTCAGTGTCATGTTGACAGCTTGAAGTCTGCTTTAAAGAATTGTTTGCCCCAGGGAATCAGAAAACACTACAGGTTAGGGCTTAGCTTATTGTTTGTTTGTTGATTGTCTAAATCAGGTGCTTGTTTGTATGTTTTTTAAGTTTTGTGGACTGTAGTCTCTGTTGCATATTCTTTTTCTTTGATTAGTAACCTTTAAAAATGCAACAAAACAAATAAAAACCAAAAAAAAATTTAGTTCAGGAACCATACAGAAACATCCATTCTTATTCTATACTCTTGGTCTAGATTTAAGAAAGTGATGTTGAAAATGTTAGCAATGCAGATGAAATTTAAGTTTATTGTATCTGTAGCTGTTGATAAGTGAATAGAGTGAATAGCACAAAAATTGAGCAAGTAAAAATTATTCTCAAAAATTATTACCTGATTCAGCAAAGAAATTTCTTATCCCACTGACAAATTAGTATAGTTCTGACGTAAACCTTCATTGTTTTATTTTTGTCTTGATGGAATCAAAAATACCCACCAGCAATTGTGTTTGAATTATACTTGTTTGCTATTGCTGTGCTTTCTTGATTGAGTCAGATAGTTTTTATTCATAATATGAGATTATGAAACTTTTCTTTGTAGTTTTTTCACAAGAGTTGAGTGTTTCTGTGAGGTCAAATGCAGCTTAGATACCCAGGGCTTCACATTTTTATCCCAGTGTGCACATAAACTCAAGCACTTTCTTACCAGTCTCAGCAGCCCCTACCAAGAAAGTGACAGTTTATGCTTGAGAATTTTTGACTTTTATTTCTCTCTTTTTAAAATTTGTTTCCTGGGTATTACCTATACATTCTTGCAAACCCAGCTATACATATTTAAGCATTATATTTTGGTTTACGTTTCCTTGAGGAAGGAAAGTTTTCAAATTTTTCTGGAAATAGAAGGTATGGTTAAATTCTTTAACATTTATTAAATGTAGCAGTAAAGAATTATGACCTTAGATGTGTCTGGTATCAAATTTTAAGCAATTAGGAATCAATCACCAATACATTGATTTTTTTGCTGCCAAGTTAATTTTTGTTCAGATCTCAACATAAAATTTCTTCAGAATCCCCCCCTTTTTTTTAAAGAGAGAGAGAAAGAGAATTTTTTTTWAAATATTTATTTTTTAGTTTTCGGCGAACACAACATCTTTGTTTGTATGTGGTGCTGAGGATCGAACCCGGGCCGCACGCATGCCAGGCGAGCGCGATACCACTTGAGCCACATCCCCATCCCCCAGAATCCCTTTGTAATAGAAGTATCTTCCATTATCATTTGCAACTGCTTATGAATATGAATTGGAATTTTCTTAATATTGAGAGTTACCAAGACAAAAATACAGAAATAAACTAAAATCTAATATTAATTTGGTGTGAAACCGTTGTTCCATTTTTTAAAGTCCTCTTTTTAAGTAACTATTATTCATTAAAAGTTTAAATGTGTATTTTCAGTGTGTAATTGTTATTCAGCTCTTGATAATGACTTGAATGCTAACTCTTTCATAAATTTTTTATAATCTGTGAGTGTAAAAGGATTTCTTAGTACTTACAATTTGAAGACATTTGAGTTAATGTTTTGATGTCTTAACTGCACACCTATGTATCTTACTGTAAAAGACCTTAATGCTCTGATTTTTGTATGTTGGTTGTCTATATTTGAGCAGTAATGATAATTAATTATATAGTAGGATAAAATATCTTCTTTAAGGTAAATATTGTCTCATTTTCTGATGTAGATATTGTTCATGAAAATCTAAAAATGGGATCAGATGGTGAGAGTGACCAAGCTTCTGGAACATCATCTGATGAAGTCCAGTCACCTACAGGTGTTTGTCTCAGAAATCGTATACATAGACGCATCTCCATGGAGGTAACAATTTAAAAATATATAAGTGTACCTTTGTATATGTTTTTGTGTATATAAATAAACACATGTTTATCAAGCACATAAATGCCCATTTGAAAATTTTCATGAAGATAAATGACACCTCTAAGAAATATTTCTTTATATTAATGAATTGTATTCCGAATATTTCCACAGACACCATTTCCCCCCTTGCTTTATAAGTATCAGTATCATTTCCTCTGTCATTCATTACACCTACCAAATCCCTATAGTATATGTAAATTATTTCTCCGTATATAAGTTATGCAATCCATTTCCCTTTGTTTATCAGTTATAACTTTAAAGACAGAAGTTATGACTTACCATTTCAGTATGTAGGAAAAGAAGAAGTGAAATTATCACTATTTGCTGATGATATGATTCTGTACCTAGAAGACCCAAAACATTCCACCAGAAAACTTCTAGAACTAATAAATGAATTTAGCAGAGGAACAGGATATAAAATCAACACCCATAAATCAAAAGCATTTCTGTACATCAGTGACAAATCCTCAGAAAGAGAAACTAGGAAAACCACCCCATTTACAATAGCCTCAAAAAAAAAAAAAAACAAAAAACTTGGAATCAATGAAAGAAGTGAAAGACTGTACAGTGAAAAACTACAGAACACCAAAGAAAGAAATTAAAGAAGACCTTAGAAGATGGAAATATCTCCCTTGTTCTTGGATAGGCAGAATTAATATTGTCAAAATGATCATACTGCCAAAAGCACTATACAGATTCAATGCAATTCCAATCCAAATCCCAATGACATGCCTCATAGAAATAGAGAAAGCAATCATGAAATTCATCTGGAAAAATAAGAGACCCAGAATAGCCAATGGCATTATTATAGCAGACCTTAAATTATACTACAGCGCAATAATAACAAAACCAGCATGGTATTGGCACCAAATTAGACCTGTAGACCAATAGAGCACAAAGAGACAAACCCACCGGATTACAGTTATCTCATATTAGACAAAGGCACCAAAAACATATTGGAGAAAAGATAGCTTCTTCAACAAATGGTGCTGGGAAAACTGGAAATCCATATGCAACAAAATGAAATTAAACCTCTGTCTCTCATCATGCACAAAACTTAAGGACCTAGGAATTAAACCAGAGACCTTGTGCCTAATAGAAGGAAAAGTAGGCCCAAATCTCCTTCATGTCAGATTAGGCCTTGACTTCCTTAATAAGACTCCTATAGTATAAGAATTAAAACCAAGAATAAATGAGATGGATTCAAACTAAGAAGTTTTTCCTCAGCAAAAGAAACAATCAGTGAGGTGACTAGAGAGACTACAGAATGGGAGCAAATTTTTACCACACTTACATCAGATAGAGCACTAATCTCTAGGATATATAAAGCACTCAAAAATACAAATAACCTAATCAATAAATGGGCCAAGGAACTGAACAGACACTTCTCAGAAGAGGATATACAATCAGTCAACAAATATATGGGAAAATGTTATATATATATAGTTTAATTCATTTTTTCAATTTTTTTTTGTTTTTGATGGACCTTTATTTCTTTATATGCAATACTGAGAATTGAACCCAGTGCCTCACACATGCTAGGCAAGTGCTCTACCACTGAGCCACAACCTCAACCCAAGTTTAATTTATTTTAGTATCTAGAAAAATTTATTTCTGTATTCCTCCCCCTTGAACATATATACACATGATCTATTTCTGATCTATCATGGGTCAACTGATGATTTCAAACTTACAGTGGTGAAAAATCAATACACATTCAGTAGAACCCATACTTCAGACTTTGAATTTTGATTTTTTTCCCCTGGCTAGCAATATGCAATATAATACTATTTTGTGATACAGTATCACAGCTCCCAGTTAGCCATGCAGTCACAGGATTAAACTATTATACTCTACAGTGTTCTGTGTTGCTAAACTGTGATGTTCAGTGAATTAGGTATGTTTAAATGCATTTCCAACTTAATGATATTTTCAATATAGAATTGGTTTATCAGAATAACCCCATGTTAAGTTGAAGAGTATCTGTGCTTTTATTCAAGAATATTTTTGGATTTTTGTTTATTTCTCTAGATAGAGTCTTAGGCATTTTGTTTTGTTGCAATTTTAGGCATTTTGTTTTGTTGCAAAGATAATCTTGGGATTTGTTTTGGGTAATATAAAATATTAAAATTAGTATGGTGAAAATCAGTATTGTTTCATTGTTTAGTTTTACCATTTGAAATATAATACATTTAAGTCTTTTATTTCTCAGTAAATATTTATACAGTTCCTTTATATATCTTTTTGTTTTTCATTATTTTATTATAAAAGGGTTTACAATAAATTCTTTTCATAGAATTTATATTTCTTGATGTGATGATAGAGGCAAGTTTTTCTTTGAAGTTAATCTCAGTTCACATTTTATAGTTAAATGAAATAGAAAGCCTTTTACTTCTATTAACAGCAATAAGAAAACATTTTAATTTTCTTTTCATGTTTATGTAAAATCATAATATCTACTTATTTAATTATTTAAATTGATCATATGTTGTGATATCTGCCTATTCCTATTTTATGGAATAATAATTTCAAAGTAAATCCAAGATAAATTTACTAATGAAATGACTTCAAAATTTGTCCATTCTGTTTTAAATCATTTCTGTAAAACTGCATTGTGCACCTTTGCTTATAACAGTAATAATTTTGCCTTCAATATATATAATTAATTTAGATAACTTAAACTTTAGCTAATTATTGCTTAAAAATAATATAGTAAAGCCCATGAATCACAAGTCAAATGCCCTAGGTTTTTGATTACCTACTTTTTTTTCCTTTTTATAGGATTTAAATAAACGGTTATCCCTACCTGCAGATATCAGAATACCTGATGGATATCTGGAAAAGTTTCAGATCAACAGTCCACCATTTGATCAACCAATGAGCCGAAGATCTCGTAGAGCTTCCTTGGTAAGGTTTTGGTCTCCTATACCTATACAAGCAGATCTGCTTTTTCTGTTCTCTGAATGTAAACACTTTAGTTTTTTCTTTTGATAGTTATGGGAATTGAACCCAGGAATTTGCACATGCTAGGCAGCTCCATCAATGAGCTAAAATCCCATCCCTTAACTTAAATTTTACATATAACATTTAAATATCTAAATTTTATTATATTGCTTTCTGGGTTTTATTATTTTCCATTCCTAAGGGTTAATTGGAACCCTTAACATGAATGCATATTGAGATATGATTTAAGCTATGTTATATTTTATTTTTGGTAAATTTTATTCATACTTGCTAGGTATACAGAATACATACTACATATATATCTTCTTAGATTTACTATACTAGGTACAATAAACATATATTAGATTATCCAGTGAAATACTCAAAGCATCACCTACAAGTCAATGAATATTTGCAATATAAACATACTTGTATATAAGTAGTACCCATTGAATAAAATTACCAGAAACCCCCTTCTATTATATTTCTTTYCTTTTAATACCCCTTAATTATAACCATAATCTCTGCCTTTTAATACCAAAGATTAGTTTTATCCACATATGTCACACTGTTTTGATCATATTATCTTTGTAAGTATGTTTTAATACCTGGAACTTTCTTATTCTTATGTACACATTCTTAATTATTTTTAAAATGCTTAATAATTAATTTCTGATTATTCTTTTTTAAACCACTGAACCTTGCATAATTGTATAGAAGAATACTAAAATAAATTTTACATAAACATGGAAATATATATTTATACAGTTAAAATATATATAATATAATATGTATTTATACGAACACAATGTATGAAAGAATATAGTGTGCATTTTTGGGGTTAGTTCCTTTTGCTGTATTAAGTTTGTGAGTTTTATCTATGTTGTTGCATATAATTATAGTTAATTTGTTTTTGTTGCATGGTGTTTTACTGTATAAGTATGTGTGTGTATATGTGTATATATATATATATATATATATATACACATATACACACACATATATATACACACACACACATACACATAAGTGTATTATACTTTTTCCATTCTGTTGATGGGTATTTTAATTTTATTCAGGTTTTTTTTTTTTACTATTATCCAATAGTGCTGTCACCGTTCTTGTGCATTGTTTTTTTGGTTAACATAATAAGCCCTTCATACCTAGGAGGGGTATTATTAGATCATATATATCTATATTCAGCCTTCCTAGAAAACATCAAGACAGTTTTCTAAAGTGGTTGTACTAATTTATACTTCCATCATCAATGTATGATAATTCTGATTGCTCTTGCCAATTTTGGAGGCTGTCTTTTTCTTTTTTAATTTTAACTTTTCTGATAAATAGTGGTCTCTCATTTTTATTTTGCATTTCATTGACTGAGTTGAACACTTTTAAATATATTTCTTGGTCATTTAAGTATCCTCTTTTTTAGATTAATTGCCCAAGTCTATTGTCTGTCTTCTGGKTTTTCTACCCTTTCCTTACTGATTTATAGGAATTGTTTACATTCTACATAAAGGAACTTTGTCAGCTTTATGTCTTATAACATCTTCTAGTACGTAGCAGTTGTCCCAGCACTTGTTATTGAAAGGACAGCTTTTCCTGTTGTACTTTCATCTTTGACATAAATTCAGGTGATTGCATATTATATCTTTTGGATGACTAGAATTTTCTACTAGGGATACATATAGTGTTGTAAAGAATAAAATGGGCAGCAAGTAAATTGTCTGCAAATCATGAGTCTTCAGAGGAGGAAGTCCTTGAGATGGCCCTAGAAAGATGGGTAGGAATTTGTCAAGTTGAAATGAGCCTGTGAACAAAGAGCATTCTAAGCAGAGGAAATTTCATGTACTAAACCTAGAGATAGGAATATATATGTTATGTGAGGGAAATTTTAATGGATATGAAGAATCAATATGTAATAATTTATTTTAAAAATAGAACTTGAAAGAATAGGATGATCCAGATTATAAAAAGCATTAGATGTCAGGTTGAGGAGTCTGAACTTCATCCCATGTAATCAAAAGTGTTTATTTAAACAAGGGCTGACACGATCACATTTTTGTTTCAAATAATAGCTTCAGGAAAAGTAGAAACAGTGAACTAGATGGAGAGACAGACAAGATGGAGATGAATTAGGAATTTGTTCAAAATTAGGGATGATGTAGCAGTCATATGGAAATAGAAAGTAGAACACTGACCCTAGGGATCATGTAGAGAGAAAATAGACAGGTTCTGGTACTCAGTTAACTTTGTGTCTGAGGGATAACAATTGATGATGACTTCTGAGTTTCTCACAGCTGTTTCATCTCCTTTCCATATATCATGGATTTTTTTTATTCACATAAGCTTATGTTTTGATATTCTAAAGAATAAAATTACTTTATTCTTTTATACACTCTGAGCACATTGATAAAGTATAACCAACTTGATTTTGATATATGTCAGTGATGATCGTAATTTTGCACAGCACTCCTTAAAACATTTTAAAAGATACTTTTGCCACTTTATTTTCTGGTCAGATGTCTTCTTTGGCTATCAATTTTTATAAAAGATTTGTACTTGGGATAAGTTTTGAGGTTATGTTTGTTCTGATTTGGAGTGAAAGTATGATTTAAAACCATGCAATTCCTTTTTTGCCAGTGTGTGGCGGGGAGGGGGGAGGGATCAAACCCAGGRTCTCCAGCATACTAGGCTCTACCAATGAGCTACATTCCCAACCCTTACCAAGCAGTTCTTGAAACTGTCATTTAAAAAGAGTTGTCTTTTGTAGTTTACATGAAATTAAACAGTGCCCTCTAATGAATATTAAGTGATTGGAGTTTTTGTTATTGCCACCTATTCCTACCCACTTACCATGTTTTTKATTTTGAATTTTGGCTTATAAATTTCAGATTAATCATGCCACAGCTGTATTTTGTTTCTATCCATGCATCCCTTTCATTACAATCTACCTTACTAAGCAAATCGTTTTTGATATATATTTGAAAATTATTCTTCAAAATGAAAAATCTTTACCTTGTGTTGATACTGGAAGGGGCAGACGAGAGGCATATGAAAGTTAGGGGTAATGGAAAGCAGGTGGGAAAAAGAAAATTATTTTTCATAACAGTTAGAATTCAAGTTTACATAGGTGCTGTATTCATTATGTATCCAAAAACTAGATTTTTTTTTTTTTCCCTCAGTGAGGTCTCTTATTTATAGAATTCTGAACCTCAGGGGGGTTTATGTATGAAGAAGAAGGGTGAGGTTAGGAATGGATGAAAAGCAGTTGGAGAAAAAAAATATTCTTCACATGTGTTAGGAGTTTACATTTCCATGGATAATATACCCTTTTTCTTAGGTAGAAATTAAKAAAATTAGTTATAGAATTCTTTTTTGCTGGAAGGAGTAATAGAGAAGGGTCAGTTAGATCTACTATAAATTCATGATCATTTACTTTAAGTGGACCCTCAGTTTTGCCTTTCACTTTGTCTTTCTTTGATTAAGTCTTTTCACTCTAAGCAAGGAGCTGATCTAGTTTTAGATTCACAGAGAAATTACAAAGATAATACAGTGATTTATACCACATACCCAGTTACTCCTATTATTAACAATGTTCCTTTAATTCATTTTTTAYAACTAAGGAACCAATATTGGTACATTACTATTTACTAAACTCCACATTTTATTCAAATTTCACTAGTTTTTTACTACCATCCTTTTTCTGTCCAAAGATTACATCCAAGATACCATGTTAATTTAGTAATCATATCTCATATTAAAGATAACTGGTTACTGAATTGGGAAATGCTATTTAATAGTTATTTATGGTTGGTAAGAAATGAAGTATTAACACAGTTAAATAAATATTAGACTAATGGGACTCTTATATGCTGATAGTCAGAATTCATCAGAGTTTTGTTGCATTTACAATAATGGTGTACCCAGTAGAAGTTTTATGAGACTTATAAGTGTAACAACAGTAGAATGAAAGTCTATATATGAAAATTTGTGTCATTATATTAAAATTATAGATTAGGTACATTTTAAATGTTTATCTTCCCACTGTGTGGATTCCTCATTCCTAGCTCAGCAGTATAGATTACATGTATTCATTTCTTATTTCTAAGAGCAAATGAGAAAATACGGCATCAAGTCCTGATATCTCACAAAATAATAAATGCATCATATGGTGTGAAAGTGAGGTTCACTTCCACACACAGTTTACCTTTGACAGTTAAGTACAGAATTGGCAAGTATCATGATGCTGATAAATTTTGTAAGAAAAAAATGACCAAATAGAACTGAGGTTTTCAGTCTCTTATCTGGCCCCACATATCAAAGAGTAAAACCCATTGCTGTCAGATACAACAATTTAATAATTCTCACAGGGAGGGAAGTGGGTGTTTGGAAAAAAACCTCCTGCTGTTCCCAGTGTTTTTCAATACATACTCTATTTTAACATGGCCTCTGTAGAACCTCAGCATATACTTCACTTGTTCTAAAGCTAAATTAGAACTGCATCTCTAGCATATTAATACATCTGTATTACTGTGGTGCATGAATTATGTTGTTAGAAACAAACACCACTAGAAATCTCTCATTACACTTGATACTGCTTACAAATTACACTGAATTATAGGAAGACCTATTATAAGTTGTAATTTATTTTATTTATGTATATTGTTAGTGTTTGTGTGCTTTTGCTATAAGAGCCATCTCATTAGGAATTCGCTTTGGACTGCCAAAAAGTGAAGTATTTTCTTAGAACAATGAAGTATCAGAAAAATGATCTTCTTCTGTCTGGAAAGCAGAATTAAGGGTGTTTTCAATATTATATTAAAATATAAAGCTTATTTTACCATTTTTTAGTTATTATTTCTGTTTAAAGGTGCAACTCAAGTGAACTCATGAAAGTGGGAATCATCTGTCTTCTTCACTGTATGCTCAGCACCTAACATTGTGCTTGGTAAATGAATAAATGAGCTTTGTCCTCTGTCCCCTGAATAATTTCTGTAGGAGAGCATGTCAACAAGCTAGTCATTATATCTATTGTTAATCTTGTCATGTTCAGCAGATAAAAATGCAAGCAAATTTTTCTAAAAATTCCATTTAAAAATTCAGTAATTATAATAATTACTATTTAGATATTATTAAAATGGGGGGAGGAAATTAGGATATATTTTACTTTTTGCATTAGGATCTGATAGTTCACTAATATAACTGCCTTTTGTTTGAATTCTCTGCCTGCCTGCCTGCCTGCATGGATGGAATTCAGTAGTGCTATTTGTATTATAGACAGATTATTCAAATTTAACTTCATAATTATTGTATGGTATTTATGTTCTTTTTTAGATATATACTTTTGTTTTCAATTGACACACAATTTTACATATTTATGGTATATTGACATTTCAATACACGTATAAATTGTGATGATCAGATGAGAGTAATTGGTATATCTCTCACCTTAAATATTCATTATTTCTCTTGTGTTGGGCACATTCAGAATTCTCTCTACTAGCTGAAATACACAGTTAATTAATGTTAACTAGTTACTTTTGTTTTTAAAAAACAGATTTTTTAGCATATTCTAATGTCATTAAATTTTATTCTCTGAGGAGTGCTGTAGTCTTAAATTTTTCATGTATCCTTTATAAGTTATTCCTTACATTATATATATATATATATATATATATATATATATATATATATATATATATATAAAACNAACCTCTAAGGCATTTTCATCTTTAAAACCATTAATTTATAGTTAGTACACTATGTAATCTTTAAAGCAAACTTCATTGTTTTTGTCATGGTCACACTAGACCAAAGTGTATTTCATGTTAAGGGCTTACTAATATTCATTTAATATAAAGGAATGAATAAGAAAATTTCCCTACTACTGAAAAGAAAAAGTTTCTAGTTTACAGTCATATCTTCTCATATACTTCTCATTTTTATAGACAACGACTATATACATATATATATTTCCACCCCCCCCCAAGGATACTCATTGTTTTGTTCATAGTGGCATATGTTTGTTCTCAATATAGTGCCCCCCCCAAGTAAATGATGACACAAGACTTAAAATTCAAGGGGAAAGTGTAGTAGTTCCATATTTGTGAATTTAAACATCTGAATTCCAAATATAGGTATAAGAAAATAATGACATTCTATTATGGTTTTTGTTAACCTTGGTAATTAGCAGTTTTATATAAAGTGAAAAATTATTGGAATCAGGCTGTCATATACCAGAATGGGCTATTAGCCACATTTTCCATACTGAACTACAAAACTTCATTTGTTTCTGGAAAGTGTTGTATCTTGTAGTTTTACCTCATTATTCTGCATAGTTATTGGCAGTAGAAAGCAAAAACTTAGTAAATACTGAGTTACATAAAAAACAGTACCTGGGTAGGTAGTATATGATGGTTCTAAAGCTTCATTTTTCTAATTTAATGTTTTTCATGAAAAACATAGATAGATAGATAGATAGATAGATAGATAGATAGATAGATAGACAGACAGACAGAAAAAAAAGGTTTAAAAAAAGGCAAAAAGAAGCAGTTCTTTAGTCATTGTAACAAAAGGATAAAAACAATTCTTTTGAGGGACCTCTTCTACTTTTGGCCATTCAACTTTTGAACAGTTTAACCTTTTGTCTGAAGTGATAAGTGATGCCAGGTCTAATCATTAAGTATCATTTTTAATTTATTTGAAAGCTCCAGAAAAATCGCATATTTGATTCTCTAGGGTTTGAGTATAATGTAATATTTAATGATACTAATATAATTTGTATACCTGTGAAAACTGAAGTTATACATTATTTCCTTTCACTAGCTTTTTATTTAAGGACATTAGCATCATCTAAGAAGTGAATTTTTCTTTAGATTGTTATTGTCTTTTCTGCTATTGCAAAGGGATTCTAGAAAACAATTTAAAGGAAATTCTTATTCTTGGCTACCATTTACTTTTTAAAAAAAAAATTCTGGTCTCTTAGTCCCTAATTTTCTACATATATATTGTTTTTCCAAATCTTTGGTATTAAGGTTGCTTATTTTGTTTTAAAATATGTATTGGATATATTGGGTTTCCATGACACATTTGGGTATATTCCATCTACCTCGTTTATTGACTCCACGCAAAAAAGCACAAGTGAGTTTAAGGTTTAAAAGCAAGGGTTTGAGAACTCACTTTTAAAGCTGTTGTGGGGATTGAGACTTATGTTGCTGCTTTTGTGTTTGCATTTTTTCTTGATCCATAGTAGAATGTAATTTTCTGTTTTCTTTTTCATTGCATTTTGATTGGAGAACCTGAAACAAATAGCATCTGTTGTTTTCCAAGTCTCCATAGGAATTCAAAGATTGGTTGGAAAATTATTATGTGATTTTGTTAAAAGGAAAATCAAATCATATTTTTTAAATAAGATTCTTTGGTATCTTAAAATTTAAGTCTGTGGTATTTTAAAATCTGGGGTCTTGGGCTGGAGTTGTGGCTCAGTGGTGGAACACTTCCCTGGCATATGTGAGGCCCTAGGTTCAATCCTTAGCATAGCATATAAATAAGTAAATACATACATATTGACAACTAAAAATATTTAAAAAGAAAATTTGGGGTCTTAAAATAGAACAAAATGTTCACAGACCATTATACAATCCATACATAAGTTTAATTATGAATATTGATGCTTTAGATCCTTTCAGCATTTCAACATCAAATATATTTTGAAACTTGATAGATCTCCAACAGTTTGAATGTAACCAACCTTTTCTATTCTTAGACATTTTATATTTGGAGAGTTTTAGAAGTTAAGGGAAGAAATGAACTACAATTTTAAGAATAAATACTTAATTTATAATTGTTTTGCTTTCAGTCAGAAATTGGGTTTGGGAAAATGGAAACGTACATCAAATTGGAAAAGCTTGGAGAGGTAAGTTAATTCTTATTTTAGAAATGCAAGACTTCCTTTTTCATCCCCAAAGTCCTTTATTAGTGTATGGTTTCACCAACCTAGAAAACTGTGAATATGATTTTATAAAAGATTGTATCTTGCTTTGAAAAGGTAACCGAAAATTAGGAGGAATAAAACCCTAAATACTTGAAAGTATCCTGTCAGTTTGAGAGGAAATGAGCACTTTTTTTTTTTTAAGTTGTAGTTGGACACAATACCTTTATTTATTTATTTTTATGTTATGCTGAGGATCGAACCCAGGGCCTTGCACATGCAAGGTGAGCGCTCTACTGCTGAGCTAAATGAGGATTTTTAATAGGCTTAAAATCTTTTATTGAAACACAAAGTATTGTGCTTTCTTGGTAACAAAATGGGCATCTATTTGTTAGCCTCCTGGAAGTCTCCTGTCCGTACTGTTGTGGGAAATTGCATGAGTTCAAATTTCTGAAAAATAACTTTAGAAATAAAAACATTTCATTGAAGGATAAGGAAGTYTTAAAAATGTAGTTTTCTTGAACTTGTCACTACCTGTAATGCTGATTTAGAAACATTCTATCTTCCATAGTAAGAAAGGGCAAGAAAGTAATAAATAAATAAATAAATAGTGAGAAACAATAAAGAAGTAATAAATAATAAATAGCAAAGAAGAAAATAATGGACTTAGTTGATAGGGAAGCTTCTTTTCTTTTTTAAAAGGAGAGTTAATGTGCTAATGTGCAAAAATTTTGAAAAGTCTGGAAACATGGGTAAAACTTTTTTTATTTAACAGTATAATTATATTTTCATTTAATGTGCTCAGTGTCCCTCAGTTTTAATATACCATTAGAGGTAAAGCATCTTTGATTTTAAAACTGTTGATCCAAATATTAATTTGAAATAAAGTATAAAAAGTGAATTAAATTTCTATATTTTTATACTTTTGAGACACTTTGTAAAAGGTGTTAAAATCACGGAAGCTGTGTGTATATATGGAACTGAAAGTTGTCTTTGCTATAAGAAAAACTAATATTGGACATTGTGGAGTTTTCTTTGCAAGATGGAATTCAACATGCTTAAATTTCAGAAATTCAGTTAATTTTTATTATCAGTTATTTTATAATTTTTTTATTGTTAGAATCTTAGGATACTCTTGACTTGTTCTTCAAAAATATGTTTTATAGGGTACATATGCAACAGTATATAAAGGAAGAAGTAAACTGACAGAGAATTTGGTGGCATTAAAAGAGATCCGTTTGGAACATGAAGAAGGTGCACCCTGTACGGCTATAAGAGAAGGTATTTTTATATAAAACATTTTTAAACCAAAGTTGTATAAGAGTATATTTTTAATGAATAAAAGCAGATATCAAAATAATAGGTGACTGGAAAATATAATCAGACCATTAAAAAGTTATTTCTAAAACTAACATGTTCAGTAGAAAGAAATTAATTTTATTATTATATAATGAAATACTATGAAGTCATTAAAAGCATTGATATAGATAAATACCTGATAGGGAAATTTTACATAATGGTACAAGGGGAACGTGGTAACTAAATTAGCTGCATATATTAAATATAAGAAATAAATATACTGTATACATGTCATGATACCATTATATTTAAAAAGTGAATTTTTCAAAATTTGTTTGAGCCAGGCATAGTGGTATATGCCTTTAATCCCAGTGGTTCAAGAGGCTGAAGCAGATTCGCAGCCACCCTCAGCAACTTAGCAAGGATCTAAGCAACTTAGTTAGACCCTGTCTTAAAAATTATAAAAAAAGAAGGGGTCTGGGTATGTGTCTCAGGTTCAATCCCTGATATCAAAGTAATAAATAAAGAGATGAATAAGGTTTGAGCAATGTGGAGGAAGAAAGCATATCTTTTATTCTATCCAAATTAACCTCAAAAAGTTAACATTAAAGAGAAGAACAGAAGATGGAGAGTTGTAATATTGGAGACGACTTCAGGTACTGTAATATCAAACTCAAAACCATAAGGAAAGGAAAAGTTAATATCTTCAGTTTTTCTACCACTAATCCCCTTTGCAATTTACTGTTTTAGACTTAAGAGGATATTAAACACAGTTGGTTCATACATTAAATTTACTTCAAGTTTTTATAAAGACTGGCTTCCACAGACTAAATAATTGACTTTCTTTTCTGTTTTACAGTTTCACTCTTAAAGGATTTAAAACATGCAAATATAGTAACCTTACATGACATTGTTCACACAGATAAATCTTTGACTCTGGTCTTTGAGTATCTGGTAAGCATTTTTAAAAAAATCAGTATTTAATTTTACTTTAGTAATAGAAAATTAGACTTTTTTTTAACAGTCCCAGAGATATTATTGTTTATTTGTTGATATATAATTAGATTATGTGGTGCATTCTATATCTTTTCTTGAAAAACAATTTTCTTTAAAAAATTAAATACTATTAAGTGAATCAGACATGCATCCTGAAAATTGTGTAATCATGTAGTAAAATGCTGGGTTTTTTTTCAGGATAAAGACCTAAAACAGTACATGGATGACTGTGGGAACATCATGAGTATGCACAATGTAAAGGTATGTTTATTGTGTAATTTTCAAGTATAAAGAAAGATGAGCTATATTGTGCAGTGAAATATACCAACCTTATAACCAATCTTCAGAATTTTCTGAATGGCATATTTACTCAACTTTTGTTTACTATGTTATAGATTCTTAGGATCATACCTTTTTTGTAGAACTGGTTCATTTAAAAGTCTTTTAGAAATTATTTTTGATATTTTCTTTCACATTGCAACTGATTATTCTACATGTAGAATATATCTGCAGGTATATTTTGCTTTCTGAAAACAAAATTCAAATGTTTAAATACAGATGATGGGTATATTCTGCAAAAGGCTACCTTTAAATGGTAAACTCCCCTAATATATTTAAAATGGTATTAAATTATAAAAATAACAACTCCTTTTCAGGGTTATGTATTATGAGAAACGGTTATAAGTAAGGCCAGAAACATGTAGGTGTTGTGATTGCTTTGCGAGAAATAACTATCTGTATTGTCAGAAGGAATAGTTAAGATATTGTGCTTTTTTAGTACATCTAAAAATTCAAATAATGCTAGAGAAGTTTGCTGTAATAATCAGATCCAGAAGAAAACCAGAAGTTATTAGATAAATAAAAGTATTTGACATACTTGTGTTCTTAGAGACTTCCTTGTTCTTAACGGTATACTTTAAATTGGCAAAGATTTATTTGTCTAAACTTCCTCAACAGTTTATCAGAACCTATTTTGAAAATAGACTGACTCATCTTGTGTGCTTGAGACCTTTCTAATTCTGTAGATAGTAACTTAGTAACTTTAAATGTACTTGTTTTCTTTTTTCTTTTCTTTAAATAGTAAATTTGGTGAATATAAAGGAAAGCCAGTTTCTGTTACAAAAAGAGAGCTGGGAACATATGGCTAGCACATTGCTAAGAATTTTAGAACAAGGCTTTAAAAGTATTTCCATATACATTCCATGAAGATTGTTTTCATTATAGTTTACATTTTACTTTGCAAGGTGTTGTGAATGCTATTTTGTATATCTTCTTAGTTTTTTAAATTTTGTTTTTTTCTGCTTTTATATTAGCACTAATTTGGAAAGGAAGTAGTCTATAAGTATCATAATTTGACAGGTTTGAAAAGTTTCTATCTTTTAAGTCAGGTCTAAATATTTGGAAAGTATTTTATTGGTTGTTAAAATTGCATTTAATGTTTTCCAAATGTAATAGGAATATATTGAAAGGTAGCTATGTTCACCACTATAACCCTAATGCAACCCAACAGGAGTATATTAAAATAGTAATTTTAGAGTTTTCAAAACATATACATGAATATGTGGAGTCTGTAGACTTTGCTGCTTAGAATTAATTCAGGTCAGACATGATGGTGTATACCTACAACCCCAGCTACTTGGGAAACTGAAGTAGGAGAATTGCAAATTTGAGGCTAACCTGGGCCATTTAGTGAGACCCTGTCTCACAATTAAAATCCAAAATTAAAAAGAGTCTGAGGTATAGCTCCATGGTAGAGTGCCCCTGAGTTCAATCCCCCATTCACCCCCTTCAACAAAAACTAAAAAACACCAAAGACGTTCATGCCTTTATTCACCCAATGCCTTGGCTTATTCTTGGTATTCAGATGCCATGTTTTTCATACAAGTGAACCAAAGGTACCTCTTGAATCTTCTGTACTTAAGGTTTTTTTTTTTTTTTTTTGCTAATCCCAGAAAATCAAGATGTGTTCCACATCTCTCTTTTCACCAAAATCCACAACAAAACCTGTACATTAGCCTTATAGGAATTGCTTTTTTCAGAGTCATTTAGAGCATTACAGTGCATTATCCCTTTTTGAATCACAGCCAATTTTGAAGACTGAGTAGGAGGTGCTGAAAGTAAATATCCAGGAGGTGGGTGCTAAAAGCTGGTTAAATTATTTTCATAACCAGTAATTTACGCAGCCCTATTCTCTTTGATACCTGAGACTTTATTTAAAGCCACCAATTTCCATTCCTTTTTTAAAGGTACTGACCCAGATCAGATTATTTGTTTGTTTGTTTGTTTGTTTTTTAAAGGAAGGGAATAAGTGCCTGGGGTTGATTGACATACCAGAATTTTATAATCAAACTGTAAACTTTAGTAATATAAGTTTGAGGATACATTGTCTTAGGCTGCTTTCTCTAATAAATGTGCTATTACTACTAAGACAAAATTTCATTATATTTACAATATTTTCATAGATACTGTTGACAAAAAAGATAGATGCTTAAAATTGAACAGTAAACTAAAATTCAGAAAACAACTCAAAATATAAAAGGCATTGTCCTTAAAATGATACAATTTCTTTTTTTCTTTTACTATTCTAGACCAGTTGCTTTTGTGCTTACCATAGCTTATGCTAATACCAAAGTATGTCTCAATATCTGTAAAACTAATTTTTACTTATTTGCTTTTGTAGCTGTTTCTATACCAAATTCTACGTGGTTTAGCATATTGCCACAGAAGAAAGGTGTTGCATCGAGACTTGAAACCACAGAACCTCCTCATTAATGAAAAAGGAGAATTAAAGCTAGCAGATTTTGGTATGGAATGATGAAATGTTTATAAATACTTCCAGGTGATTATGTTTGGAGAGATTGCAATAAATCACCAAGTCAGTCTTAAAGCAGGAGATGGAATCATCTTTATTCAAAGGTCGGTAGGACACCAGCTGGCAGGAYAAGGGCAGGCTTCTCGTGTACACTCCTCAACCCCTTCCAGGGATTAGAACAAATCTTTTGTAGTTCAAAACCACAAGTAAAGCATATTAGTACATTAATCATAAATGGCTTGTTGCTATGATTCAAAACCATAAACAAAAATCATGAGATCTAAAATCATAAGCAGAGGTGGGGGAGTGGATCAAAACAACCCTAATTGAGTACAGTTTAAAGAATGGTTACTAACTGGTAGACAAACATTCTCTGACATTTTAAGYGGTTAGGGTATTACACAAGTACAATGCATAAGAATGGCCATTTTGTGTTGCTAAATATGCTAAGCAACTGTTAGTGGGTACAGAGGCAGAGTTTTCCCATGGGAGAAGCATTTCTTACATGACATGAAGTCTCAGGGTAACATGGATGTGTTTGGTTATTGCCCATATAGCCTGGCCCATAACAGTTAGGTTTAAAAGAATCTAACTATTGTCACAATGTGTTATCACTTTCCTGTAACTTTGGAAATTTTCTCTGTAGCCCACTGATCCATATTTGACAGAATTTTATGGGTGTTTCATGTTGGTTTGTTAGCAACAAATACTTAGAGGTGTCTCAGGTGTGGCCCATTGACCCCAGGTTCCTGAAACCCTTTCAGGGAGTATCCAAAGGTAAAGTATATTGTCAAAAGTACACTAAATGTTATTTGCTTTTTTGCTCTATCTTAATATTTGCACTGTTGATCCAGAAGCAATAAGGATAAAACGGCTATTTCCTTAGTATATGTTCAGGCATTGCCACTTAAGTATGTTATTGTGTTTTTTGCCACTGCATATTCTTAGAGAACAATATCAGTTACACTTAAAATATTTTKCCAAGCAGTAAAATTTATTGATTTGATTAAATTTCTATCCTTGAGTACATGACTGTTTAATATTTTTGTATTTTGTATGTGTGATGAAATAGAAATATTAAAAACACATGTGCTGCACACAGAAATACTATAGTTATCTCAAGGAAAAGTTTTTGTGGGATTTTTTTGGTACAAGCCTAACTAGCCCTTTTTTTCCAAGGAACACCCATTTTTACTTCAGAAAATGACTAACAAACGAGTTATTCAGACTTAGCTATTTCAGACTTTTTCTTGAAAATGAGTGAAGTAAGCCTGTCACTTCAAGGAAATCCACTGCAAATATTTCTTGCCAATAGTAAAATTCAGGTTTTCAAATAAAAATTAGATTTTGAAAATTTGGTGCTGCTACTTTAAGCTTTAATAGCTTTCCACTGCTTAGAAACTTTTCTGATAAAATCAGTGTTGATATTAACAAATAGGATTTTTTTATTTTGAAGAAATATATAAACATTTTAACCCATAATTCAAGAACTAATGTTTTTCCATTTATTAGCACCTTATGTTATAGAATCATGCATGGTAAAAGATTCATTTAAAGTACAAGACAGACCAGTGAATTTTAACAAAGGCATGAATAGTTCATTGATATAATTTCAGTTACCATACAACCTTGAAGAAACGATTTAATCTAATGTATGAAAGAACACTATCTACAATGATCAGAAAAGACTATTAAAATGTTCCTCCTCTTTCTAAAAACTTCATATCTGTGTAAGATTTTATATTCTTCCTATACCTATATAAATTATGATATATTGTAATATGTAGTAAAGCATCATATCATAACAGAATGCAAAAGCAAATATAGAATCCAGCTGTCTTCTATCAAAATAGACTTGTTTTATTTTGGAAAAAATTTTCATAAAAATGTGATTTGTGCTAACATTGTGAGAGGTATTTTTTAATGAGTAAATGTTTTAATTTTCTCATCTTTTATGGCATATATCAGCAATTATCTATATAAGTAAAAATATTTGAGGTCCTTAATAATTTTTAAGAGTATAAAATGAGAATTTAGAAAACACCTTTCAGATATGAAAAATTGTGCTCTATATGTGTAATAAGAATTATAATGCATTCCGCTGTCATATATAAAATGAAAAAAAAAGAAAGGAATAAACTGAAAAGAAAAAGAAAACACCTGAAAGGGTTTGCCTTTATGTGCTTACCACCATGACTGCATTTATTATATGCTCAATAATTTAATTGGTAGTTAYTTACTTATATCATTTTAGCTCATCTGATTTTAAGGGATTTGAAAATAAAACAAAATTACATGTTCTTTTTGCATTTAGTAAATTGTTTCTACTAGGAAATAAAAAAGAAATTTGTAGAGTATCTTTTAAATTTTTATGTTACTCTCAAAATACTTAGATAGAACTTAGTTTTAAAAACCCATGTAGTTTTCCAAAATTACATTTTTAGTTTTTCATAAATTATTATAGTAGTTTCAGTTTTGGAAAATTTCACTAAATTTTAGAGTGTTTCAGGTTATTACTCAGATTAAAAATTTACTTATTAAATGGTAATTTCTATACTCAGTATTTTGCTATTTGTTTGAAAGGTAAATTTCTATTCCGATTTCCTTCCTTAAAACAGAAATGAGTGAGCCATCTATGTTTAAACAAAAAATTACAAGTTATTTGCATATACTTGCATAGATTATACAGTCTCTTTTTGAACCGTAGTTTATGCTGTTATTTCCCTTTTAATTGTTCTCACCCCTCTCCTCCTTTCTTTGTCAAGCTGCATTTACTGCTCTTTGTCCTCAAGCCCAAAATGTATGGCAGTAACAGAGAAACCATGCTTGAATATTTGAAATGCAAAAGGAATGTCAAGGACCATCAAAAATCTACTTTTATCTGGGAATATTCTGAGTGCTTTAAATTTTGCCTCTAACTTCTTCAAAGCAAGTAAAGCAAATTTTATCTTCACACAGGCCAGTAAGAAATTCTGATTACTGCCAGGCACAGTGATGCATGCCTCCCAGTGGTTTGGGAGGCTGAGACAGGCTGATTACAAGTTCAAGACCAGCCTCAGCAAGTTAGCAAAGCCCTTAAGCAAATTAGCAAGATCCTGTCTTAAAATAATAGCTCAGTTGCAAAATGCCCATAGGTTAACTCTCCAGTACCAAAAAAAATAAATAAATAAAAGAGAGAGAGAAAGAAAAGAAATTCTGATTACTCCATGAAATAATACAGTCAACTTTGTCTCTGTTACTTTTGTTATCTATTTATTTTATTGCATGGTAAATACACTTGGAGCTTCAAGTAAGGGTCAATTAAGTTTGAGTATTTGTACTGTAAGTTGTTCTTAATCTTTCTGAAAATCATACCCTTTTTTCGTGACCAGTGAAATTCAGAGGTCTAGGAATTATAATGTAGTCATTTCCATTAATGATAAAAAGTGGCTTGTATAGTATCATGTGACATTTAATTAGTTTGAGAGTTGCTTATTTCATTTTCATGCCAATACCGAAATTCTGATTTTAAAACAGGAACCTATTTGGACAAGCATGCTAGTAGTTCATGATCTTCTCAGGAGCAGGAGAGTAAAAGTATTGGGAGAACTACAACTGGCAACTTTCCAGAGTGATGTGCTATTGGATAAGCAAATTTATAGCTCTGTCCTTTGCCTCCTTGTAACCCATTCTTAGCATCTGAAAGTTAGAAAGTTGCCCTCCATCTTACTAATTACCAAAAATTATAGAAAAATTATTTGTTGGACTTATTTCTCAAAGTTGGGAGATTAAGAGCAAAATTTATAATTAATAAAATGGTGTCAGCATTGTTCCAGTTATACCTGTTAGCCATTATTCTAAACCAAAATAGTGTGTTGCCTCATTATTTAATTTTCTAGTATTATTTATGAGATTTTTATCCAATTTAATAATACTCTTGATATTTTTTATATTTGATATTTTAATCAGATATATAAAGTTATATGTAATAGAAATCTCAGCCTAAAAATGAATTTTATTTTGTTTGAAATAAAATATATGGTAAAAATAAATTTATTTTCTTAAGATACCTTTCAAAATTGCTGCTTCTTTAACTGATCAAAATTTAGAGGCTTTAAGAGATGATAATAACTCTAGTACTAATAACAAATAAAACTGGGAACTCTAGTCTTCATTTCTGGATAATTAGTGGATGCCATATTAAATTGGCAAAGGGATAGCAAATGTTTTGCATCGTTTACAGCAATTAGTAATACTCAAAAGCAATGAGGTCTCTCTTAGTCTAAAATTATCTATATAACATAAAGTGTACAGAAAACATTGTAATTTGTTCTATGGAAACCTTTTCTGAATAGATTTCTGCAAGGAAATTGTCAGTGAAACTCAACTGGACTATAGACTAATGACTTGGATTTTTAATAAAAAATGGTACAGCAAATGAATGTTAGAATTAGGTTAAAAAGTGATAAAAGCTTATAATTGTGGCAAGTAAAATTGTGTCTCATTGTCATTGACCTATTTTGGATTAATTTAATTTCAGCTAGAAAATAATTTTGGCACCATGATTCATGGACAAGTAGAAAATATCTTTTTTTTAAGAGAGAGAGAGAGAGAATTTTTTAATATTTATTTTTCAGTTTTCGGTGGACACAACATCTTTATTTCATTTTTATGTGGTGCTGAGGATCGAACCCAGCACCCCGTGAATGCCAGGCGAGTGCGTTACCGCTTGAGTCACATCCCCAGCCCAAGGGAAAAGATCTTTAGCTTAGGTTAAGATAAGCTAAACATCTAGACATTATACCAGTGCATTCACCACATACAATTAAATAAAAATCTGTGGTCTCAGAATTATTATATTTAGTTTAATTAGATAACGATATTCTCACTGAAGACCCCATGTATCCAAAATTCATAAAACCAATTTTGTTGAAGCTTCAAGTAGCTATGGAGTAGCCATTTTAGTATCTTTGTGAATAGAGTCATGGTGAGCATAGGGACTAAGAAATCCATTATATTCTTAATGGATTTTAGTATATTTAATTTTTTGTTTTCTTTTCCCTATGAAGGACTAGCCAGAGCCAAGTCAGTTCCCACAAAGACCTACTCAAATGAAGTTGTCACACTATGGTATCGGCCACCTGATGTGCTTCTTGGTTCCTCAGAGTACTCAACACAGATTGACATGTGGTAAATATGTATAAATAAAACATTATTGCCATTTACAATTTTGAAATAATGTAGCTGATAACACAGGGCAATGCTAATTGATGGTGATTTTTAAAGAGCCATAGCATAAGCAGTGAATAATTGTTCTGGCCAGGTAGCAAGATTATCTAAATTTAAATACCAATTTTACCACCTACAACTATTACATTATCTAAATTACTGACCTGTGCCATAGTTTCTACATTTAAGGAAATGGGAACAGTTATCAGTAACTACTTTAAAGTTCTACAGATAATGGTAAGACCAAATTAGCTAACACATTAAAAAACGGGAAAAGAACATTCAGAAGAGTATTGACACATAGTAATTTAAAACAAAATTATTTTTATCATCATTTAACATTCATCAAAATCTACCAATTTTAAGTTGTTCTAAAAGCAATAATCAAAACATTGTAGCCATCTTTCTTACACATCGCCTTGATTGTGACACTCCTCTATTCAAATATCTTTGTATTTGAAGGTGAACTTAGATTAATCTAAGTTCACTTCTTAATCCGATATTTAAAGAWTTCCATAAAATGTTTGTGAACTACTTTTTCCAACTATTTCAGACTATTTCTCAATATAGATATTCCCTTTTAACTAAATGGCCTACTCACTACACCTCAAAATAACCTGGGTTTCCCCATCTTTGCTTTTTGTGTTCATATCAGTTCACCCATCTTGTGTGCCTATTCTACTGCTCTAACCAGGGCTTGTGCCTCATAACCTTCAAAACACAGCTTTTCATAAATCCTTTCCTGAATACAACCTAGCCTCTTCATGCAATTTCTTCCTCTGAATGATGGTTGCGTTTATTTTAAGTATTCTTTGTGTACCAAATCATATACTTGTATTGTTGTCTTGAGCAGTTTTATAAAATCTTGTTTTGTATAACATTTTTCTCTTTTTAAAATTCCAATAAAATGCATAAAATAAAATTTTCCATTTTAACGAATTTTCAGAGATTAAATACATTTACATCATTGTCCATCTATCCCCATCTTCAGAACTTTTTTCATCTTGCAAAATTGAAACACTGTACTCATTAAACAACTTTCTATTCCACTTCTTTCTCCAGTCCCTGAAAATTATCATTCTTTTTGTCTCAGAAATTGACAAAGTACCTCATATGAATGGAATTATACAGTATTTGTCTTTTGTGACTGACTTATTTAAACTTATTTCACTTAGTATAATGTCTTTAAGGTTCATCCATGTTGCAGCATGTGTCACAAACATATTTTTCATACATTGTACATATTTGTCACATTTTGTTTATTGATTCATTTGAGTTGCTTTCGTATTTTAACTTTGTAAATAATGCTACTGTGAATGTGGTGGTACAAATATCTGTTCAAGATCTTGCTTTCATTTCTTTTGGGTATACATCTGGGAGTAGAATTGCTGGATCATATAGTAATTCTATTTTTAACTTTTTGAGGAACTACTGTACAGTTTTCCATATCATAGCATTTTACTTTTTTTATAACATTTTAATATTTAACATTGAATTTTACATACTTTTGTTATATTTACTAGGTTGTAAGATTTTAGTGGAAGGACTGTGTCACACAGCTGTGTTCACACAGCTCCTAGATAATAGTATCTGTTCATTGAGCCTTCCTCTTTCTCTTCTTTACACACACACTCCCACCCTGCGTCTACATATTCTATCTCTGCTTCCTGCATTAAAAAGTCTTGTATTATTTGCTTGCCTTTATCCCTATGACCTTATGCCTTAGCTCAGGCCACCATCATCTCCCAGATTACATAACAATCTCTTCATTTGTTTTTCCTCCTTCCTGTCTTGCCCCTTTTAGTGCATGGTCACACCATAGCTGATTCAATGAGAAAATAGTTCAAGCACTTAAMGTTTCAAACACATAGGAAGCATTCATTCACTATAAGTTATTATATTATTCCTTGAGGATCAGGCATAGGAGAGCTAGACATTTTAAGTTTAAAAAATGAATTAGCTTTATGAGCCATATGGATTTTGAGATGAATAGGGTAAACGTTAAATTAGTTGGATCTAAAAAATATCTCTGCAGGAGGTTTTCTAGCAGGCTAATATAAAATCCTCCAGAGAGGCATTCTTTAAGGAAAAAATTCTTGTGCTTCATAGTATGTAAATGGATTGTTCATTTTTTCCTCCCTATGATGTATTTTAAAGGGGTGTCGGATGCATTTTCTTTGAAATGGCTTCTGGAAGACCTCTGTTTCCAGGATCAACTGTGGAAGATGAACTGCACTTAATTTTCCGACTACTAGGTAATAGGAGAAGTCTTTTTCCAATGATTTACACCTGCAATTGATTAGCTAGATTAAACTGTATCTCTAAAAAAGTATTTTTTTAAAATATATTACTGAGACTCATCTAAATAGCTGTTATGTTTTAAGAATTACAGTCAGCTTAATTATTATAGAGAGATCTTGCTAACTTCTTTTATGTACAGAGTTTCATCTTTGCAATAAAGATTCTTTGAAAGAGTAGAAGTATTATTGAAAATTGACCTTCAGTGTATTATTAAGGAATACTTCTAGCTTAGGTGGTGTCATCTGGATAGAAAAATGGCCAGACATCATAATATTCACAGTATCATTACACAGTCCAAAAATAAGCCCATAAGTATTTACTATTTCCATCATTTTAATTTCAGTTTAAATAAATCACCTAATAAATGTAAAATGTTCTCTGAGGCACTTTCTTAGTTTTGCATATAAATAATTTCTATGTATTATTTATAAATATATAATTTTTTTTTAAATTTAGGAACTCCATCTCAGGAAACTTGGCCAGGTGTTTCTTCAAGTGATGAATTCAAGAACTACAACTTTCCAAAATATAAACCACAGCCTCTAATTAACCATGCACCCAGGTATTTTTTTTTGTTAAGTGAAAAAGGGAGAAACTATATGATTCTTTTTAACTGTTGGAAGTATTTCCCACAATAAAGGTTCCAGACAAATATGTAATACACACAATTCTTAAATATTTTGGGATCTAGTGTAATTAAATTTACCCCTTCTTTTTGTCATACTAATTTTATAATTCAGTGACCAAAAATAAGTAAAATATGAAATAGTATTGAGCTGTAAATAAAATGAATATAAAACATATGTATTAGAATTCTATTAAGAACTATGTAATGTTATGAACGACCAATAAAAAAAAAAAATAGAATTCTAGAGTTTATCTAGATAGCTTCTTTTCCCAGAAGAAACATTAATTAATGCCTTATTTGGTACCATAAAAATCATGATAAAATTTTTGTTTTGCTTTCTATTTAATTGTTCTCTATTTACTCACAAAACACCTAAATATTAAAGTAAAATCTTGACTCCAATGTAAGATGACCCATCAGTATTTTGATTATCATTACTGGCATAATTTGTACTTGAAGAATATAAACTCTTTGACTCTTAAGCAAAATGAATGTCCTGAATGTTAGCAGTACAGTTGAAGTTTCTTCTCACACCTACCTCCAGATCAGTCCAGAACTCCCATTGAAATTTGTCTATTTTTACTTGTGGAATGTATTATATTTGCAGTAACATAGAATAAACCCCTTGACTTTATTTTCCATTAAAAAAATTTCTAAGTCACCAAAATACCAAATAAGGATGTTGTCTATCTTAATTTAAAAAAAAATTACATTACTTACAATATAACACACTACTTGTATTTCCATTTATTCTCAAACTAGAGAAGTAATAGCAAAACATTTCTGATACCAGAAATATTTTTAAGTATTTCCATGTACTGATATTCTTATTGTGGTCTTTATTAATGAAGTTTTATGAAGTTACTATGGCACATTAAAATATCTAGCTGTCATTTTCAGCTAGACTTTCTTAGGAAGAATAGCAATATATGCTGGGCTTTTTAGTGTCTCTCCAAAGTAGTGTAAATCCTGTTTTGGTCATATATATACACACACACACACACACACACACACACACACACGTGTATATGTGTGTATGTATGCGGGGGACCAGGGGATGTCGAGAGAGAGAGTGTGCCTGTGGTAATGTTCAGTGTAGAAGGTTGAAGGCCTGTGAAGCAGATTGTCCATGAACTTAGCACCTAGCTTGTTTGTGCCTAGGGTCTTCTGGGTATGTGCCAGAGTAGCAAACTACTGAGGACTAGAAGAGTCTTGAGAATGTCTAGGCTCTAATATCCATAGGAACCATTTAGAACACTCAGGGGAGAATATTTCTTTTAATTGTATTTTTATCAGCGAAAGGCAGTGTTAGATAGAACCTGTGATTTCTGATCAAGAGATAATCCCATTAAAATAATTCCTAACTCCACTACTCCTGGTTATATTAATTTCATAACTATAWTAAGCTTTCTTTATTGACTGTTGGCTTGGTGTTCTTTATTAATGAAGTTTTATGAAGTTACTATGGCACCTTTAAATGCCAGCAGCTCAATACCATTCCATATCCAGTGCTGTAAAAATTTATTGAATGACTTGTCTCTGTGTTTATTTTGAACCACACTGATATATAGTTTGGGAGTCACTGTTTCTGTGTTTTTACCCATATGATAGGAAAATGATGCTCTTGTATATTTGCCTTCACTGCAATACTATGAGAATTGATGTAATCCTTTGTTTTTACACAGAATAAATAAATAAATAAATAAATAAATAAATAAATAAATAAAATAATAAATTAAATAACTCAACAGCTTTAATAATTTTTTCTTGAACATTGAAAATTGGAATTGAAGTTATTTATGTTTTCTTCCATGACAAGATAAGCCTCTTCAGACTAAAACAGATTTGAGTGTATTTGAACTCAACAAGAGTATCTGTTTTAGGGCAGTTAAACTTAGCAAACAAAAACACTTGGGAAATAGTTTTATTTGAAAGGTGTCTATCAGCTAAGATAAAATTTACCAAGTTTTTTATTGTTCTATCTAGGTTAGACTCTGAAGGAATTGAGTTGATAACAAAATTTCTACAGGTAAGTCACATCTTATTTTGTAATTGTTAAATGAGTAGTTCAGCCACAGTTTCCTCATATGAGAATGATATTATAATGATTGTTTGTGGTAGTGTCTAATATGTTTCAGGAATGGGCGTAAGTTAAACATACACACACATAAACTTGTATGTGTGTGTRTATATATCTATATCCATAGATAGATATAGATATAGATATAGATATATAATATATATTACATGTTTTCTCTTAATGAAGGGTCTGGGCCTCATTATGACCAAGAACAGTCTGAGGTAGTCAGCTGCTGGCATTGATCAATTCTGTCAAGGCAGTGTTCTCTGCAATTTATGATCTCTTTTGTTCTCTTTTTCCTTATACTTACTACCTTTCAGGATGCTGCAGCTCCAGATACCACTCATATTTCCTCCAAAGCAGGAAGAAGAGGGAGGATAAGGGTGGTACCAGCCATATTAACCGTCTTATATCTTGAAAGCAAAGGCTTTCAGGTAGAAACCCCTGAAAGGCTTCTTCCCAAGTCTCATTGGCCAAAACAATAATTATAAAAGAGAGGCTGGGAATTGGGGATCGAGATTGTCATAATTAGCCTAAACTTAGAAACAATCATGATTCATGATCCATCTGTCATTTATCAAGGAAAAAGGGGCAATAGATATTGGATAGGTAATTGAGACTGTCTGCCATAAAGACATTAAGTGTATTTTCCCTGGTCCTTTGTTATTCATGAAGAAAAGTAAAAACAAATAGTTGAATATTTTAATTTTTCATCACTTCAGAAAATACAGGAATCTAAAGTTTTACTTAAGATCCAGACTTATCTTGAAAATGTAGAACTGAGATATAATTATTACTATATAATCTCAACAGCAATTCAAATTTGAGTGTATCTGGAGTACTCAAAATCAGTTCTTGGAAAATAGTCATCATATTGACACAGTCAAGATTTTTAAAAATCTCTAAATACTAATTTTTCCTTTTCCAACTTTTTATAGTAATTAAGAGTAAAAGTTAATGAAGCAGTTCTTTGCTTTTTCACAGTATGAATCTAAGAAAAGGGTTTCAGCAGAAGAGGCCATGAAGCATGTATACTTTCGAAGTCTGGGCCCAAGAATACATGCTTTACCAGAAAGTAAGAAAATCCTTTTATATTCATTTGTCCAGTGTTGGGAAATGAGATGGATTAGAGGTTGCTAATTTTTAGAGATGGTTGCTGATTTTTAAATCTAAACATAGGTCATTTTCAAATTAGATCAAAATGTCTTAAAGGAAGGAACCACTATACAGTTTTCCAAATCAATCATATTATTTTCTTTTCTGGATAACACTTTAATATATATTGTCACTATTCTGTAAGAAACTAAGAAACCAATAATACTTACGTATGGGTCATCAATCTTATTGGATTTAATTTGAAATATACCATCTATGATGGCATCCATAGGCCTAATGTAGCTTCAATTCAGTTATTAAGAGTGAATGACACATAAGATAGTTTACTTATGAAAATACCTGCTTTAAGATATAAAGATGATTTTCCTTTCTAGGGATCACTCTGACTTTATTATCATTATGACAAGGATCAGTGTATTATCGGTCATTAAAATAACACATTTCCAATGCCTAAAGTAACTCCTCAGTTTTACTTGTGGATATTCTTTTTAAAAAATAGCCCGTATTTTACTTTAAAATGGAGTAAGGTAAGTGAGGAATTAGGAGAATATTTGGGAACTGAGCTATGAAAAGCTTTCATTAATTCCCCATTCTCATTTACTAGACAATAGTGATTCACTAAGATTTACATAGCAATCAATAAGCTTAATTGAATAAGAAATCCTTAAGACTTTTTACTTAGCACTTATAAGATTTTTAAACATAAAGACTACTTTCTGACAGAGATTGAAAATGAGATGAATTACAGGTGACTTTTTAAAAAAAGTTTACATTTCATTATTAATACCAGATTTCATTTAGAGGTAAGTAGTACAAACCTACCTGTTCCATGTTCTTAACTAAAAATCTGAAGGTAGTTTGAGGACCTGATACTTTTATGCCATCATGAGATAGTGTTAAAGGACAATATTACTGGATATTTATATACTAAGAACCTGGAAATGCATTTTAATCAGGTCTCCCAACCCAGTAAGTTTTGGAACAGATAACATAGGTTTTTGTCAGAGAAACACCTGCTTACATGGTACTTTAAATCATTGTTGGGGGAAGAAGGGTTCTGAAAAGGGATTACTTCCTTTGGTTTCCTCCTGAAAATAGATTTTAAAAAAGGCAAATCTTTGAGCAGGGTTATAGTAAGTGCAGTATAAATKTTTATTGGATTTAATTTGAAATATAAATATTTCAAATATAGTGGAATCACTATATAGTTTTCAAACACTTTTCTATGGCTGGATTGTATATGTTTCTAATAATGTTGACCTTCATCTAATGACTTTTGTCTGTATATTTTAGGCGTGTCAATATTCAGTTTGAAAGAGATTCAGTTGCAAAAGGACCCTGGTTTTCGAAATTCTTCTTACCCAGAGACAGGTGTGTTTGTCATAAACCATTTCACATGTCGATCATGAATTTTTGTGTGGAACCAAGTTTTTGGTTTATAAATTGATCAGTAAAATTATTGATGTAAAAACCAATGTACAGTGCATTCCACAACTGTGTATGTTTAGCATTGCACGTACTCACTTTTCTGTATGATGTGGGCAGCTCAGTAAATCTTCAGAGAGAAATCTGACTCAGTCAAGTCAGGGATCCTGAAAGCTGCAGATGGCACAAGACCTTTTACAAGTGACCTGGCTTGATCACTGCACACGCCATCCCTGTACCTGAGGCAGAAGACACATCTTGTGCTCTCCTAGTCATCAGGTTCATCACTTCGAAGCATAGAAGCTGTAGACTGACCCCCGTCAACAAAAGGGTCATTTAAGACAGTGCTGATCACTCTTACCATGGAATATTAGCTTTTGCTGGTGGGAATATTAACTTCTTAGARTCACCAAATACTGTATGTGAGATAAAACTGAACCTTGAACTGCCTCATAAAATGACTTTATATTTTAGGACATGGGAAGAACAGAAGACAGAGCATGCTCTTTTAAGTCTGATAACATGGTTTCAAGCCCAGCCCCCAGCCTTTCTTACCAATCAAGGACTCAGATCTGAAGGCARTTTTTTTCTTTTGGTGGACTTGGAATCTCCGTATGTCTACACTGTCCTCTTCACAGTGGAGTCTTTTTATTTCAGACCTACAGATTGTTTTTTATATTTGTTGTCACAGTGTGACAATTTTTTTGTACAGTCGGTTTTAAGGTCTTCTCTGCCATTAGAGCCAGTAGGTTACAGCTATTGATGTAACTGTAGCTGCAATTTTTGTGCAGGACTGAGAAACACAGTGCATTATTTATTGCGGAATCATTGCTGCTAAATAACTACTGTCTGTTTATTTAACACAACAATTGAATGCCTGAAGAAGTTGCAGTGGCTTTATTATATGTGAATGCATCTGTTTCTCCTCACAAGTTGTTTTACTGCTGCATTTTTTGTTTGTTTTTAAAATTAAACTGCAGTGTTTCCTGGAATGTATATTTAGCTTTGCTTAACAGTAAAATAAGTGAGCCATGTTGAACATTCTTAAGTTTGTGCTACATAATTTCTTACAGAACATTGGCAAATAGAGTAGCTAAGAGATTGATAAGCACATTATGTTTAGGAGAGCATGTGACAGAAGTTGATTCAATCAAGTGAATACCTGATATTTTGGGGTTTTTACATTAAATACCAATAAATTAAAGCACCAAAATTATTTATTTTATCTATTTCTCATTTTAGAAATGTCTACTACATATTACTGGATATTTATATACTAATATACTTAACTGTTTTACATTGTGCTTTAATTTTAGTTAAAACTTAACCACATAAGTCTATTCTGAGATGAAAGGTATTGCTCATTTTCTTAAATACATTTATTAGAAACTAGGATGATACTTCACTGGGGAACAGTTTTTTTCATTTGGGGGCTGTGTGTTTCAATAACATTCACTTGGAATCAGCTAAATATTGTAATATGTCTTTGAAATGAGCCATGAGAAATAACAATTGAGAGAAATGAGAACTTGGAGGATTGTGACAAAAAGCATTGAAAGGAATTATCTGTTTATCAGAGATATTAAATATTACAGTTTTAATTATGCATCTCCTTGAACATCATAAACACATTTTGGTGTTGGTAACAGTGTTTTTAAACCTTTGTGTTCACTTTTAAGGACTATTGTTTATTGCATCTTACAAACTAAATCTTAATTGGTATATTTTGAAATGGTAATGTAAATTTTGCCTTATGTATCATGAAAATAGTCATAACTTAATTTTTTCCTGACATTCACTGTAAAACATTCAGGGGTCCTACCATTTCTGTTCAGGAAATCTTGTAGTTTATTGTTGTTATTTAACAGTATTAAGTGAGTTTTGTATATTTCATTTTAACTTTATTTGTGAATAGTGATTGTGGCATGTTTGGGGTTGTTATTTTAATATTTTATGATACTGAAATTTTCATTTAAAAAATTTTTCTGGAAGAAACAGATTTCATGTGTAATGGTAAATATTGGACCACTACTGCTTTTCACATTTGTAAAATGGTTTTATGTTAAACCCTGTAGCCTAACAAACTGCTGTTATTTCTAACTGACAGACATGTATTAATATTGTACTTTGCAGGTTATAAATATTATGTGGAAATTCCTCCATTTTGTTTTGAAATTTGTAATAACAAAATCTCCATGTTGTATAAAATGTGATTTTGTTGAGTCACAGTTTTTTTCTTTGGGAAGAAGTCTGTGCAAAGTCAGATCATTTTCTTTAATGGTTCCTTTGTAAGATCATGAAGTCTTGTTGCCAAAAGAGATAGCTGCTTTATATTAGTGCTGGCATAATCTCTACTGTAATTTTATATAACAGCACTCTGAAATTTTCCATTTCATAGGATATATATTTGGTTTGTTGCAGTTTTGGCCTATGGTTATCTGTGTTTGAATCTTACATACTAAAGGTGAAGAAATACATCCAGTTATTACATAAAATTCTTGGTCATTGGAAGTTGTAGGGATGTTTCTTCACTTTGCTGAGGAATTTGGCAATCAAACAAGTGTTTGTGGGGTTGTTTTTATTGTTTATTGGTACTTGAACATCATTCAGGTCCTGAAAACTGCTGTGAAGAGAATTCACACTCAGAAATATTGAACCTTTAATACTTGTGAATCCTCTTAAACTGACAAGGTTCTTAAAGGTAAGAGAAAATGTCTCCTCTGTATCCTTTCCAAGTTGTGTTGGTAAGACACACTGAATCTATCACTCTAGGTGAGTGATATAATCTATCACTCTAGGTGAGTGGCTATACTCTGATGTTTTATCAACTTAGGTTTGAAACACTATTTATTATCATGCTATAGTTATCAATCTTTTTGAATTAGAACAATTCATATAGGTATTTTTCTTTACATTTTTATGATGTTTAAGTGGCAATATTTTAACAGCTAGCAAGTGTACAATTCAATGGCATTAATTACATTCACAAAGTTGTACAATATTTGTCATTATTTCCATAATTTTTCATCATCCCAAGAGAAATTGAAGTCATTTTTAACCCCCAGCCCTCCGTCCCCAGCCCTAATAACTTTAGTCTACTTTCTTTTTCTATGACTTTGCTTATTTTAGATAGTTAAGAGGAATCATACCATAATTGTCTTTTCATGTCTGGCTTATTTCTTTTGGCATGTTTTTATGGTTCATCCATGTTAAGCATAAATCCAAACTTCATTTCTTTTTGTGATTGAATAATACTCTATTATGAGTATATTCATTTTCTTTATCCATTCATCTGTTGATGGACACTGCCTTTTAGCTATTGTGGATAATGCTGATATGAACATTGGTGTACAAACATCTATTCAAGTCCCTGTTTTAAATTCTTTGGGGTATAATACATATACCCAGAAGTGGAATAAAATTCTATATTTAATTTTTTTTGGAGTTGCCAGACTGTTTTCTGTAGAATTTGTACTATTTTATATTCCCAGTAATAATATATAAGGATTTCAGTTTCTCTTCATCCTCACTAATACTTGTCATTGTCCCTTTCTATTATTATATTCATTCTGATAGGTGTGAGGTARTATCCCATTGTAACTTACATTTACCTAATGATTAATGATGTTGAGCATCTTTTCATGTGTTTTTGGCCATTTGTATATATGTTTTAAAGAAGTATGTTTAAATACTTTAGCTATTTTAAAAGTAGGGTTGTCTTTGTTGTTGAGTTGTTAGAATTCTTTATGGATTCGGGACATCATAACATTACAAGTTATGTTACTTGTAATTATTTCCTCTTATTCTGGGGGTTTCTTTCACTTTCTTGAAGGTACCCTGGTGATGCACAAAAGTTATTAATTTTAAGGAAGTCTAATTTTTTTAAATTTTTGCCTATGATTTTGGTGCCATATTTAAGAAATTATTACCAGTTTCCCCAGATCATAAATATTTGACCCTATATTTTCTTTTAAGGTGTTTATATTTTTAGCTCTTATATTTAGGGTCTTAATCCATTTTGTATGTGTATAAAGTTAGGGTCTACCTTTTTTTGGGGGGGGGGTACTAGGAATTGAACCCAGGGCACTTTAACGCTGAGCCTCATCCCCAGCCCCTTTTTTATATCTTAAAGACAGGGTCTCGCTGTATTGCTTAGGACCTTACTAAGCTTCTGAGGCTGGCTTTGAACTCGCCATCCTCCTGCCTCAGCCTCCCAAGTCATTGGGACTTTTTTTCCATAACCATTTGCTGAGAAGACTGTCCTTTTCCATTGAATGATTTTAAACACCCTTGTCAAAAAATAGTAGACCATGGATGTAAGGGTTTATTTATGGGCTCTCAGTTCTATTTCATTAGTCTGTGTGTCTGTATGTTTGTCCATACAGATAGTCCCAGAGTTTTTATTTCACCAGCCTTTTAGTAAGTTTTGAAATCAGGAAGTATGGATTCTCCAAATTAGTTCTTCTTTTTTAAAATTGTTTTAGTTATCCTGGGTCCCTTGAAATTCAAAATGAATATTGGAATGAAATTTTCTGTCTATCCTTACATAGTAAAAATGACAGAAAATACCATTGGRATTATGATAAGGATTGCACTGAATTTGAATCTGTAGTATTTGGGTACTATTATCTTAACAATGTTAAGTTTTCCAGGCCATGAACATGTGCTATCTTTACATTTGTTTAGGTTGGTTTCTTTGAGCAACATTTTACAGTTTTAGTGAACAAGTCTTCTGTCTCATTGATTAAATTAAGTCCTAAGTATTTTATTGGTTTTGATGCTATTGTAGGTGGAATTGTTTTCTTAATTTGTTTTTGGAATTTTTTATTGCTCACATATAGAAATACGATTTTTTTGTGTTTTGATTTTTATCTTCCAATTTTGCTATATTTGTTTATTAACTAACAGACTTTGTGGATTCTTTAGGGTTTGGTACATTGAAAATTATGTCATCTGCAAGGAGAGATGGTTAACTTCTTACTTTCTAACGTGGATTCCTTTTCTTTTTCTTGTCTAGGACTTAAAAAAGAGGATGTCCTTGACTTGTTCCTGATCTTAGGAAAAAAGCTTTTACTTTTCATCATTGATTGTGCCATTAGCTGTGGCTTTCTGTATGTGGCCTTTAACAGGTTGAGAAAGTTTCCTTCTGTTCCTAGTGTGCTGAATATTTTTATTGTGAAAGAATATTGAACTTTTTCAGTTGAAATGATCATKTTTTTTTAACTGTTTATGTGTATTACCTTGATTGATTTTCATATGTTAAACCACTCTTGCATTCCTGGAGAAAGTCCCACTTGGTTGTAATATATACGAGTTGAGTATCCCATATGAAAATGCTCAGGATGCAAGTGTTTCAGATTTCAGAGCTGTATGAATTTTGGAATATTTGTGTAAGCTTTACTAGTTGATCATCCTTAATCCAAAAGTTGGATATCTGAAATGCTTTGAAATCCAAAATCTTTGTAGCATCGTTGCTCAAAAAGTTTCACATTTCAAATCATTTTAGGTTTTTGGATTGGGAATGTAATGTGATTGGGCTTGTAATGCTTTTGACATGCTGTTAAATTCAATTTGTTATTTTTGTTGAGGATTTTTGCCTTTCTTTACAAGGGTTATGACCTATAGCTTTCTTTTCTTGTAGAATCTGTCTAGCTTTGATATCAGGGTATTGCTGGCATTATAGAATGAAGTGTTCTCTCCAATTTTTTGGAATAGTTTGAGGGTTTGCATTAATCCTTTAAATATCTGTTAGAATACCAGTGAAGTGATCTGGTTCTAGGCTTTTCTTTATTGGGGCGTTCTGCCAATAATCCCCTTTCTTGTAATAGTTCTTTTCAGATGTTTATCTCTTCTTCAATCAGTTTTGGTAGTTTGTGTGTTTCTAGGAATTTATCCATTTTATCTTTGTTATCCATACTTGTTGGTATACAGTTGTTCATGGTATTCTCCCCTCATTCTTTTATTTCTGTACATTCAGCAGTAATGTGTCTCTTTCATTTCTAATTTTAGTAATTTGAATCTTTTTTCCCCATCAGTCCAATTTAGTTTTATCACTTTTGTTGATCTAATAAAAAGAACCAACTTTTGGTTTTGTTGACTCTCTCTTCTTTATCAGTACTTTTTTAAAAATTTGTAAAATATATAGTGGTTTAGTTAGATGGTTTTAAAAGATTTTACTGTGGAATTCAGCATAACTGCAACAAACATCCAATGTCATCTTAACAGGAATCATCTTATTGCTAGTCAATGGCTTTGGAAGAATCTGTACTATTTTATATTCCCAGTAATAATATATAAGGATTTCAGTTTCTCTTCATCCTCACTAATGCTTCCCAGTATTTTATCAGCTGTTGCTGCTGTGTTTGTACTAAGGATTCTAAGTACTTGATAACAGTTTTAAAACCCCTCTCTCATTCTTTCTCAAATCTGTTTTAGAGATCTGTTCAAAATCTCTTTCCCCTTGTACTTTTGCCTCCTACTCTCATATTTCGTTTTTAGCTTGCTGTATTTTATCTGGTTTGTTAGCAACCATCATTTTTGCCTCAGTTTCACATTTTTTTCAGCAAAGTAATCTGAGCATCTTACCATTTTTGCCAGCACTGCAATTTGATGGTCAAACACGACTTTTACTGCAGCAACAAGACGAAATAGTTACTAAGTAGTTCTGAAAACATATAAAAGTCAGCAAAAGCTTGTTCTTTTCCTCAACCTCTGCAAGCTGAGACAAAGCTCTAGATAAAGCAGTATGATCTTCAAAATTACCTAACATGGCAGCACTTTTAGCAATGGCAGCTGTGTTGGCTGAAAGTTATTTTCTCTGACAGACTAAGGCTTCAACACTGGCATGAAGTTTCCTAAGTTGCTGGCCTTGATTCTCAAATTGCCACTGCTTTTCTTCAAACCATGCATCCAATTCATTCATCCTGATTGTCATTTTGTTGACAGCGTTGGCAGCCTAGTTCATCATCCTCAATATTTCTGCTTCACATAGAGCCTATGTATTAACTGCTCTGGACAGCTCTGAACTTTCCAAGAAGTACCTTAAATCAGGATCCTGTAGTRAAGTTTGATGTTTTACTTTGAAGATACCATTCTAGAGCTGCTCTCCGTTTTTCTGCAGACTCTGTGGATGATGAATCTTCATCATATACTTTAACCTTGATCATACCTACTATGTTCTTCTCCAGAGCAGGTGGCACAATATAAACAACATGTAAAYACTTTCTTAACTAATTTGCTATACAAACCAAGAAAGTCACTGAATCTTCTTTTAACTGAAAATTCACTCTTACTAACATGGAAAGAGAAGTCTTTGTTGTTACTCTATATGCCATATAAGCATTTATGCCATCACCAACTTTCTCTGGATCTGACACACCCAGTATCTATATCAAAAATATGTCCATTTGCTGCTGCTTCAATCTCCTCCCTGGCTCTATTGAGATCACAGGAGCAGACATACTCTTTGATTCAATTCTAGGAGCAATGAGTGTAGTAGGGGTGACAGGTGTGACTGCATGAGAAGATTCTGAGAAAAGGATAGTTTCCCTTTCTCGGTTGTCCA